TTTTTTAGAAACATGTATGGGCCGAGCTGAAATTAAAAGTCTTTAAAAGTATGTTAAAGACATGGTAAACGGACCAAACTTTTTAAAAGCATCATAATTTTATTTTATAAACCGCGTCAGGTTCATGGAGGTTTTAAGTGTTTTAAGCGTTATTCTTTAAAGAACAAATTGTCAATTATGTACACGTTTTTTAATATTCATTATGTAGCATTTTTTTAAAAGAGAACACTATTAAAAACCTTCTGCATTAAAAAATTCTTTAAGTTCGCTTATATGTGTTAGAAAAATAAGCGATTTTTGCAAAACGAGTTTGTTTTGATTTTCTTATCGTGTTACGTTACACTAAACTATGATCTACACGTGATATTGGTATCAAAAAAGTAATAAAATTTTGGGGCACATCTAGGAGTATCAAAAAGTAAGTGCAGGAGTCTCAAAAACGTAAGTTTTGCGTCGTAATGCTGCCCAATCGCACAATCACGTGATACCGTCGAAGTACATTCCCAACTTTCCTTTACCTTATTGGGTTCACTATACAACCCACTATCGACCAACATTCCTCTCACCAAGTACAAGGGTTGTTCTAGGACTATGCGACAAGTAGTGACTTCTGTTAAATTAACTTTTGGTGTTATACCATTTTTTACCACCACAATATACATACCAGGCATAGAGAATCGCTACCTACATGGCAAAATGCTCGCTTAAAATTCGCATTTATCGACACAGCAAATTATCTACACTAGCCTTTGCGACACAGAATGGCCAGCACTATAGTTAAGGTTAATGTTATAATATAGCAAAATTAGGAATTAATCAAATATTTTGCGACAGGGTAAAATCGCCACCAAAACAGTTTCAACATCATGTGACAAGTATATCATGCACCAAAAATTCAACAAAAAATAAAAATAAAAGAATTTATAGACTAACATAATAAAAAATAAATTAATTTATTCAGAATAAACTCAGTAAACGCAATATTTATTATAGCCAGAAAGTATTATGATTCAACAAAAAATAAAAATAAAAGAATTTATAGACTAACATAATAAAAAATAAATTAATTTATTCAGAGTAAACGCAATATTTATTATAGCCAGAAAGTATTATGATTAAAGTTTTTCTAAGTATTTGGAATATTCCATTGCCGTTTAAAATTATTATAAATCTCCTCCAATTTATGCAATAGCTCAAGGTTTTTATTAATACTATTTAGTCGTTTGGATTCATTATGATTTCTTCAATAACTTTTTTTGTTGCATCCTGAATTCAGAATTATAAAGCTGTTTTTTCAATACCTTTTTTTGCTGCGCCCTGAATTCAGAATTATAAAAGCTTTTTCTTCAAATAAATAATCATAGTTATAGTCTTCCAGAAGAGCATTAAAAATAAAATCTACAAAAATTTTCTGGTGCAATTGCATTTTCTTGATTAATTTTTATAATTTTACGTATTTCGATTTTCATTCTTTTTTCGTTTATTATTAGTGGAAATTTGGATACGGAAATCAATATATATTTTCAGAATATTGTGTTTATTGGATTTCATGCTTTTCATTTTGAAGAATTGAAAAAAAAAATCACTTACTGAATATCATTATCACGATCCTAATCATGATGAATTAACAATATCACATCATTTTCGAACCTTTTTTGGGTATTTTGCTGTGCTTGTAGCAATTCCCAAATTTATAACCATACTTATTTCTAATTTTAGATTCTCATTGTTGAAAAATAAGGTTTGGGCGTTGATTTGTTTGCCTAGATTTACGTTGTAACCGGTTTTATCATAAGTTGTGATAACTAAGTGATAAAATAATATTCACAATCTTAATAAGTCATTAGTCCAGGACTCTAGAACTTGGACTAAGTCCTAATTTTAAGACCTGGGCCTATATGTTCATAGTAAGTCTCGTAAATGATTAATGTTTCAATGCCTCCGATTGGCTGGATAATAGAAATAATAGGCTCTAAAAATAATACATATACAGTAGTATCTTAATGCTAGTATTGATAGATTATTTTGATTGGTTAGCACCAAGTTCAGGGCTTGGTCTTGGCCCAACCTTGCTTAGGGCCAAGACGACCAAGTTCGGACATGGGCTAATTTACCATTCCTAACTGTGACATCTAATTTTGATGATTTGCATACCGATGTATATAAATTTAATCTAAAAGGTTTATTTATCTTGGTGAGTTTCGGAGTCGAATCTGCGTTAACAAATAAATACATTTATAGAAGTCGGTAGCAAATATACAATGCCGGTTAATAAAAAAAAATGGAGATTAGGATGTTTGAAAAAAGGAAATTTTTATAGCTTCCTTAACATAAAAAAGAATATATTTAATATTACAAAATAAAAAACAAATAAGAATCGTTAACCATTCATGTTTTTTGAAAATTCTCTACACACATCGACGTAAACAAATATATACATTGCATATACATATTTCTATTTCACAATTACTAAAAAAGTTTATCATTAAAACAATTATGTCATGCTGTCTTTAGACAATGAGTGAAGTAATTAGCAATTCGTTTTTACAATAACTAGTTTGTGTAAATATATATATTCGTGCACTCATTATGTAAAAACATGTCAGAAAGGCAAAAATACTATTTCGGCAATACCGATCTTGATGGAGTTAAAAAAAAATTATTTGAGTGCTGTTCCTGATAAAGTTCTAAAAACTAATCCTAATCCTAAGTTTTTTTTCCTTATAGTAGTATAGTATTTGGAGGCCCTATTTTAGAACCTTATCAGGAACTGTATGTAAATCGATTTTTTTTCCATCCTATCAGTACCGACGATCCATCAGGAACGGCTCCGTATTGGTTACCGGAATTTTATGCCAAATAATAGGTTATGAACCCTTGAGTTTGTTAAATTAGGTGCGTACGTATGCATTGAGGAGCAATTATTAGTGGAGAGACTGAAGAATCAAGGAGCAGAGTTAGTAGTCATCAAACAGGGAAGTGATGATGTGATTTACGTTTTATGGAATAAAGTCTATAGGTCTATATGTATATACTCCTTAAGATCGCAGTAAACCGCAAGACATCACGTCCCAAGTCCCTGCCGTTGGGATTAAACTAACCACTGAACTAAAACAACAAAACCGTGTAGGCAATAACTTTCTCATGTCAAAAAAAAAACATACCTTAAGGCATCAATAAAATTCTGGAAAGCAATTTCAATTCAACCCCAATCTAACCTAAAGAAAAAACTTGTCATTTAATACTTCAAGAAGTTCATATTTAAAACCGGGTACTATTCACGAATATACGATTTTATTGGTGGAAAAGTGCGTACTAAATGGTTCTTTATCACATAGCTCATCAGTTCAGTTCAGTAACGCTGATTGGTTGAGCATAACTAATTTTGCTTGAGACTCCAAACATACAATGACTTGCGTTTCTTAGTAAAACATAACAATAGGCAGGAAAAAACTAAAAAGATGATGAATTGCAGGGTAAGCCTGTCTGTGAAAAATTTATATTTAAGTGAACTTTTTTTTTTTAGCCGGAAGCCGGCAGTGATAACTACATTATATCACTAGTATTTAGATTTAGGATCGTCGTGTTAATCTTCAACAATTATGTCTTGCTGCTGCAAAGTCCCAATTAATATAAGTAGAAATCGATCAATGTAAATTATATCGATTGTTTACAGTAACCATTGTAAAAATTCAAATTAATATATTAACAAGTAAATAAACAAAAAGTTTACCAAATGACTGGATGTAAATTAAGTATTTAAGAACATCAGTTGAAACATTTAAGATATTATTTATCATGTCGGGGAATGAAGATGACAAATACTTAAAAACTAGGCGTGCTTATAATGAAACTAAAAAAGCTTATATTGAGAGAATTAGTAAAGAGAAGATAATAAAGTTCATCCGTTGGACTGAGATTGATGATAAAACAGAATTTGTTGATACTGGTGGTTCTGGAGTTATTACAAGGGCAAAATGGATAGAAAAGAATATAACTGTTGTTTTGAAGGCAGTGGCAGTTTCTGAAGAAACAAATTCAGATAACGATGAGTTTATTAAAGAGGTAAGACCGATGTGGCAGCTAATTTATTTATATGCTAATATAATTTTTCCGTTTAATGTAATTGAACAGATTAAGGCTTTTCATAATATTGGCCTAGTGGTTTCAAGTATAACGAATGAAGAAACATCTCTCAAAGGAGAAATTAAAGAAAAGGCTTCTCTCGTAGGATATGAAAATGTAATCAAATTTTATGGTGTATCGAGGTATCGCATCATGTAACATCAACATGTTATTAGTATTCATTGTTGAAAATTGAATTTTTATTTAAAAAAAATTGCGATATCTAGGGATGAATCTGACGGTAAATTTTATATATGAACTTCAATTTATGTACTATATATTTATTGTTCTTCACTACTGTTTTATAAATAGATCTTTACCTGATACTTGAGTACGCAAATCACGGTAATTTACGCTATTTTTTAAGCCAAAATACTTTAAATTGGGAACAGAAGGTCAATATTGCAAGACAGGTTACCGGAGGCCTGTACTTTTTACATAAAAATGGGATTTTACATCGTGACTTAGTAAGATGCTCATTCTTTAGCAGTTAATTAACATTTTTTAAGACACAATTAATAAATTTATTTTATATTAGCATACTAAAAATGTACTTATCCAAAAGGATGGAGATGACATTAGAGCTATTATTACGGATTTTGGACTTGCAAAAGTTATTCCTCGTAATAGTAAATCCAATCAGAAAATAGTAGGATGCGTACCATTTGTAGCCCCTGAGATATTAAATTATAATGCAGCACCTGATTTCAAATCTGATATATATAGCCTTGGTGTAGTTTTGTGGGAATCACAAGCAATGGTCGACCCCCGTTTGACAAATGCAAAAATGTCCTTTTAGCTTCAATTCAAATAATTAAAGGAGCACGGGAAAACCCAATAGATGGGTCTACTAACTCTTATATTAAGCTTTATACAGATTGTTGGGATGGAAATTCTAAGTTGCGACCAGAAATTGAAAAGGTTTATAATTTAATTCAACAAGAAGACATAATATCAGGTGAAAAATTGAAAGATTCATCAAAAAGTTGTATTTCTGATATCGATACTGGTCTAATAACACCCAATGAGAAAATTGAGAAAGGTGAGAAAAGTGAGAAATACGTTTCATTGAATTAATCGTTGAACAATAAACATTACTATTTTTAACGATGTCTTATTGTCAAATATAAAAAATATACTAATTTAGAATCTAATAAGACCAATAACGAACAAATTTTTAATAAGATGCTTGAAATGTTTGGACTGCTTTCTACCAAAGATCTTGAGATGTTTGAACAACTTTCCGCTAAAGACCCTAGTTAGTATTCTAAAAATCCTTGTTAGTGTTTTAAGAAATATTGATAAAAATCTAGGATGCACCAGTCCTATGGACCGAACTTCATACGGTCCCGGTCCGGTCCTTATATATTGTGAGCAGTTTGATTGGTATCACAGGACCGGTCTTTTTCAGGACTGGTGCAACCCTATCATAATGAAATTATTTTAACGGATGCTTCTTTTATATAGAAGAGATGGTTCGTTTAGTTCAAGCTGCTGCTGCTTATCAAAAAAAAGCTGCCAGTTCAGAAAAAAATGGACAATAAATTTTATTATAGCTCGAAATAAATTTATACTATATATTCGCAATTGTCGCAGATAAAATCAGATTAAAATGAAATGAAGGCTTTTATTTAACTCCTAAAGTCTACATATACCCTTTTATTATAAATTTTACCGCTAAACTGACCCCCTAACCCTAAAAAAAATGCCAAAAAATGCACCCAAGCATTTGTTTTTTCGGTGGCTCATCTATTCTACAATATATCCCATTTCATTTTAATCTAATTTCATTTTAATCCGTCACAATAAATTGTTGAATTCCTCTCCTTTTGTACAACCTAACTATTTCTTAGTTTCTGTGATAACAACTTATAATATCGTAACTCAATAATAGATAATATATTCTCATGACATAAAATTAACTTAAAAAATCAATGTTGCGAATAATTATTTATGGCAGTCAGTGATTTATTATCTTAAATTTCATTGTTATACTCTTCTAACTTATGAATAGTATTGTTTGATCATTATTCGGTATGATACCCAAATATATGCGTAACACCAAAAAAACTAAACTTTAGGTTTTCAAGATTATTTACCAAATTTAAACTAATCAGAGATATGCAAGATACTTCATTATGTCGCTAGTCATGACTAAGTACAGTAAATACTTTATTGTCGCAAAATGACGTGTATAGGCGTTATTTGAATACTGGTCTAAGTTAAACTTAATTTAGGCCGTAATTCGTAATTCACCCTACGTGTTATTTCGTGACAATACGGTAATAAAAATAAAAACCGAAATCGTTTTTCATTGGTGTCACCCATACATATAAAAATTTGTGCTCTATGTAATTTTTTATATAATTAAATTTATATAGATAAATTTGATTGAATATATATGCAATGAATTATGTGCACTATGAGCACATCTTTGATATTTTATTAATGATTATGGTGAAAAGTTTGTGAATTATGTGCACATTTCTAACCAAAAACATGTGAAAATTTTTAAAACAAGTGCTTTGAGCACATTGTATATATAGATTTTATACACTGCGTATAAGACATTGGTTATATTATATAAAATAATATGGCATTTTTTTATTAAAGTTAATGTCACTGCTATGTAGCATATGAGTGACATTAACTCTGATGAAAAAAATTTTCTGTTATTTTCATATAATCAATATTGTTATTATTGTTTTATTATATCATGTAAAGTTTTTGTTATAATATTTTGTATAAATGGTTAGTTTATAGCAAAAATATCAAAACAAAAAATTTACATTATTATATTATATGAACAATAACTGGTAATAATCTAACAACTATGTAATTGCTATTATAACCAAGTTTCAAAGTATAATATTATATTGCAAGCATATAAGAAAAATTGAAACTAAAAAAAAATTAAAAGTCAAAATATTAAGTTTTCATTAGTATGAAGAAACTGGTGCTCTTAAATACTTCTGATAATCTATATTTTATTTAGAATTTCTAATAATTAGATTTATTAATTTACTATATATCTTGACTTAGTATATCTAGATTATACTAAATTTGAAGTTAAAGAAAATAAATTATTATTCTTCAGAACTGTTAGAATTTTATTAAGATTATAACTAAATTTGAAGTTAAAAGGGTAAAAATATTTTTCTTCAGAACTGCTAGAACTTTTATATCTTAAAAGCAAAAACTAAAATAAGATTTATTTCTACAATTATTTGTAGTAATATTTATAGCTTATTTAATAATTTTAGCTAATTAAAAATTATATCATCTATATAATATCTATTTAAATTTTGTTTTTTTTAGTAATCCTGATTTATTATTTAAATTAGAAGTACTAAAAACTTATATTTTATATAAAATATATTTTCTATACTATATTCTTGTACTAATAAAAATTTACTTGATATTAAAATCTAGATGCATTCTATCTAAGCAGCCAATTTACCTTATATTAGATTATTGACTTTCTAAGAATTTGATTCCTTTAATTATTAGTTAGAAGTTGCAAATCTTGTTAACAATTACCAAATTCATTCAAAAATATCATAGTTAAAACCTTGACTTGTAGTTTGAATACTATATATTTATTTACTGTTTTATTAGTAAAAATTATATTTTTTTATAAATCATCTTTCTAAACTATATATATTCTTTTTTCTCTATCTTTCATATCTTACTATGTTTTTTTTTTGTAATTTCTTGGAGAGTTTTTTCTTTTTTTCTATTTTTCTAGCTTGGTTTTTTTTGCTTTTTCAAACTTGTATTAGGGCTTAAATTTATTATCTTTCTTGTATTAGAGCATGAATTCATCTTCTTTTTAATAGTTTAGCTTGTTTTTTATAATCTTGCACTTCTATTTTCTCTTGTATTTGTTCTATTGCTTTCTCTTATTTTTTAATTCTTCAATTTATTTATTTCTCTTTAAATATAACTTCTTTCTTTATTAGTTTCTTTGTACTATCTTTTATATTGGCTGTCTTTCTTTTTTCTTTTTTAATTCTTGACTTCTGCTATTTTTTCTGCTATTATTTTGTATAAATTTTCTTTTATTTGTATTTGTATCTAGTATTAAAGATCTAATATTCTCAGTATTTTCAAAAACATTTAAAAAACTTTGAGAATATTGTATTTAAAAATTATATTTTTTTTTAAGAACCAACTAAAAATATAAAATTTATAATTATGTTCTCATATAATATACAGAAAATATATAATCTTTTTTTTATTATTAGAACATTAAAATATTTATAAGAATAAAATTATTAATATATGTTTTCAAAAAACCAAAAAAAATTTTTAGATATTTAATAATATCTGTATCTATATAAAATATTGTCTATTTAATTTATTTCACTAATATTACTTTTTTCTTCTTTTTTTAATTTTTAGTATTGTTTTGTATTCTTTTTTTGCTTGCTTGGTATTTGATTTCTATAATCTAGTCTAATAAACTTCTTTGTATACTTTTGATTTGTATATTATTAAGGCTTTCTTCTTTTTCTAGAGTTGTTGTTAAATTTTGTTTTGTTTTTTCTAATATTTTATTTAAAGTTTTTTTTTTACAAAGTCTTCAATATCTTATTCTTTATTTTTATATTTAAATATTTTTTTCTTTGTTTTTTTTGTTGTTTTCTTTATAGAATTCTTTTTCTATATTGTGCTTGTATTTTTCTTTAATTTTTTTTTCTTTTTATATTGTTTTATTGCAAAAGTCTTGACAAATTTTTTAAAGTATTATATTAGTATTTTTAATATTGTTTTGTTATATTGTCTTTGCCAGTTTATTTTTGTTCTTGAAGTTTTTTATTCTATTCTAACTCTACTTTAAAATTTATATACTCAGCAGTTTGCTATTTTTATTATATGCTTTTTATCTTAATCTTTCTGCTATACTACCAGATCAGTATTTATTTATATTGCTTTTTGATATTCTATATTGGTTTTTTTCTTAGTATATATTCTGTATATTTAATTTTTCTTTTATTATATTATATTAGTTATACATAGAGCACCTCTATTTATATCTCTGCTTGTTCTGCTATTATTAGTTTTTTGGAATTTTTTATTATTTTACTTTATGTAACTATTTGGTTGTTGTATTTATATATCTTTTTTGTTTATATTTGTCAAAAAATTCTTAATATATTTTTTTGTTTATTTTTTATTACATATTGTATGTTTTGTATAAGAAAAATCATCTGCATTATAGGTTTATAGCCAAATTTCCAAATAATTTGCAAAAAGCAAAATTATTAATAACTTTTTAAATTTTCTTCTATATTATTCTACTTCTGCTTTTTTGCTCTAGTCTCTTAAAAGACTAAGTCTTATTTTTGTTTATCTTTCTTTTTTTAGAGCTACAAGTTTAGTTTCTTGCTAGTATTTGTATATTTATATTAGTGTTTTATTTCTGCAGTTTTGTATTAAAAAGATTAGTAAAAAGAGTTTAACATTATAATTTTTCTATTTAAATTTTACTAAAAATATTATTTCTAATAATTGATAAAGTTTTTTTTTTTTTATTGATAATTTCTTATATAATAAATTTTTATTTAAATCTCTAATTTATAAATTTATTTTTTTATAATCAAGGCTAGTTTTTTAGCTTATTATTTTTATTAAATATATGAAAAATTATTAGTGCTTTAAAGACTTAAATATAGTATATTTTAATAAAATATATAAATAAATATAAATAACTTTAGTTAAAAACTCTATTATGCTACTATAGTTATTCTAATCTATAAATTTTTTTTTTGATGTTAAGGTGACCTCTTGACTATTTTCTTTTATTTAGTTATTAGTTAACTTTACTATACGCAAAGCCCCTTTGGCACCCATACAGTATATATATTTGGAGAATATATACTAACCACACATATAACTTTTGATTATTTATTTAAGTAGTCTGCTTATTACTAAGTTCTACACTAGATGCTATACCTATAACCCAACTAGGGGGTTATCTATTTAAAGCCTCTAACCTATGGGGTTAACCTATAACCAAGCAAGAATCATTTGGACCCCTTATTTTCAGATACCTGGTTTAGGATTTTAAAGCAGGCTATAACCATTTAGGGAGCTCTTTATCCTTGAGACAAACCTGCTAGAACTTTCTGTACCTACAATCCGACTAGTCTAGGCTTCAGTAACTTATACTAAGTCTGAGAACAAGTATTTGCAAACCAAAGTCGCTACCTTTACCTACTTCTGCCTTTGTAGAATTCACTTAAACCCAAGTATCTACTTTACAAACTATTAGGAGTACTTCTCGGATTTCAAACTACCAATTCAGATAGCCTAGAAGAGACTTTCACCTGTAAGTTACTGGTCCTCTGGTAACTGCAAATTAATCAGTTCCTTTTCTTCCAGTTCCAGTAACCTAGTTGGTGGAAATGCCTTCTCAAACATTTTGTCTATTCAGTTTTTCTGGTTTGATTTAGCTAGTCTGAACTACTAATCCAAATGGCCCAGAAAGGACTTTTGCCTGTAGATTACCAGTCTCCTAGTAACTACAATTAAGCAGATC